CAAGCCATCGTCGACAAACATCATGACTTTTTAATCCTGGATTGATGCAAATACACGTTATGCAAACTTTACATCGCACTTTGACTCACTTCAGAGCAGATACAATAGACCTTTAATGATTTCAAATAAAACTGGGACATTGTAACAGAAGGAAGAAGGTAATAAACATGACACATTGAGTAATTTTTTCACTCAACGATACAGACAAAAACTTTGGTGTTCCTGTTTACTCTGTGTGGGAGACTCTGGGGGGATAAAAGACTCAAAAATGCTTCCTGAAATGTGAAACAAACATGCAGTGATTTCCATCTGTGAGAGATGCATCGTGATGTACAATCCTAGACTAGATCAAAGGCCAACTCGACTATTCACACCTTCGTTGATTTCTCTTGACACTTGACAAGTCACCCACCTCCCTCTTCTTCTGTCTTCTTGTATTCTTTAAGTTTCTCTTTCCTTGAACTTTTCAAATGCTGGGTAGAAAAAGGTATCTGAATAGATGCTTTTAACAACTGTGGAGTTGACAGCCCCCCGTTTTCAAAACCAAATTTGGGAATCCTCTCCTTTCTGTCTACATTCATTTTCCCCTTTTTCCCCTCCCTGAACGTCTACAAGTCATTGCGAGGAGAGGATAAAGGCATGCATGCGGGGAGATGAATGGTTTAATTTAGATTTAAATGGCGTAAAAGTGGGCTAATCGGAATAGCTGACAAAAGCTCTATGACGGAGAAGTGATAACCTGCTTGCTGCTTCCTTATTGCAGGAGATGGGAATGAAGTGCTGGGTTGGTTTACAAGCCTAATTGCATGAGTCAGTGTTCCGAGTGAGAGACTGACATGGGAGTAAAAAATTCCAGTGGGATTTAACACTCAATGAGCATTACTTTGCATGATTCGCAGCTTTAGATTTTTTTTACTTTAAATGTCTGTTTTTGATGGATAAACTCTTTTTCTTTCCTTTTCATACTCAATACTCTCACCTGTCACTTTCATGTTTGTCTCTGGATTTCAATCAATGTCTTCTCTTTCTTCGTTTGCTTATCAACCTGCTTTTGTCTGCGTCATGTTTTTGCTGCTTTGGTTTTTCTTTCTTTCTTTCTGCTTCTTCTCCACCGCTTTTTCTTTCTGTTCCGTCTTCCTGGCTCAGTGTGCATCTATTTCACCTGTCCTTCACTGTCTGGCCTTGGGTATATGTCTCAGACATGATTTAAGAGTCCCATTTATAGACTGAAAAATCAGATGTCACTCAACTGGAGAACTCAATCAGGCTTGCTGCTGCTTTTCTACATGTCATTTGACACAATGTTGTTACTCTGAAAAAAGTAAAAGAGGTTTATTTTTGTACCTCTGGATGAATTGCTGTATGCAATTGTGTATATATCTTAATGTGTTATTGCCTCTTGGGCCTGTATGACGAAGCAAGTTCAGTTCAATTTGATCTCGATTAACATTACAGGGGGAAGGGAAGAATTGAATATTCGATATTCTCTTCAGTAACTCCTCATTTAACTAATCATTCCAGACTGCATTTTAACCATGGTGACATTACAAGATATAGTCTGTAATGGACATGGACATTCTGCAGGACAACGCCAAGAGAAAGGAAGCTGAGAGCAGGAGTTAAAGAAACTGTGTGAATTTGAGAGAAAACTTCTACTTGAAGTCATAACTCTTCACAGACATTAAATTCATATTTACAGTGTATTGGTCAGTCTGTTTCTGCTGCCGAGAGGAGAGAGATGGAAAAAGGAAGGAGTTAATGCCTGATAAGGTCTGTGTGTTTCAGACATTTGCATTAAAGATTAACTGGGAGGTAATTAACAGTGAGTGGATTTTTTTTTTCCAACATAAGACAACAGAGGGTATTTATTTCCAATTATCATCACAAAATGGCCTCATGTTATCCTGAGTTGCAGTGAGTCATTATGTATTTAGTGTGGTGTCCTCAGTTTGTCAGAGGCCCTGGTGTAAAAGCTATTTTATTCATGTCGGGATTCTGTAGTAATAATGACTCTGTTATTCCAGTGAGCTAATTGGTCAGTAGTAGGGCTGATGACAGGTTTTGAGCTGCAGCTTAGGTTATATACCCCTGTTAAAAGCGAGCCATCTTAAACCGGCTCCTCTCCAGGCATGTTTTAAAATACTCTGCTATGATTAATATTTTTGTTTAACATGGTTTTCCCACAAAAAGAATACGGAAAACTCGGTCTGGAAGTTAGGTTCTGGAAAACTTAGATGGATAAAAGACTAATCTTGCTTCATGACACAGGACCCTGACTTCACCACGGCTCATGTTTTTGAACCCAAGAGGCAGCCCAAGCCAGCAAGTAAGTTGTGCGACAGTTCACTCGGTTCATAGTTACCTCCCTACGACACGAGGATCTGTGCACTTAGGTGATATCTTTAGTGAAACACATAAAAGTTTTACTAGAACAAATTCTATGACAAGCTGACAAAGACAAATTGCACTTTCAGGCTTAATTATCCAAAACTCAAATTTGAAATGACAGGTCCCCCCAAAAGGAAGCAGGCGGACAAACAGAAGCCGGTGATTATGGGAAATTATTGGTGACTTGAGATTTGACATGAAAAACTCATTTAAAAAGATGTTTTTCAAGTAATTTTAAGGCTTCTGCCAAAAAGCAAGAACGCAACCACAGAGACAGCTGTTGGGTGTTCTGCAGTAACACCCCTTGTCAGTTTGGTCCAAAGAGCCAATTCATTAAGCCTTGATCCCTTCACTCAAACCTCAACTTTCAAATTTACGCTGATGCTTCTCAGATGGTTCCTCGAGTCTAAACGGATAAAACTTCAAATTGTCACTGGCTGCCAACCCGAAAACCTGGCTGTGTTTTTCTGAAAACTTGCCAGGTACTTTCGCTGTTTCTTTAACTTGCTGGATTACAGCCCACATTTTCTTCATGTATTTATTGATCAGACGTTTGAACAGAAAGGTTTGCCTTAGTCAAACACTCTTTGTGGTGGAAGTGAACAATGGCCAGACAGAGGACAAATCTTTCCTTTAAAGCTGGCAGGAATATATTAAAATGATTGATTGTGACTTAAGCTGTCTTTATGTTTGGTCTTTTCAAATGAGGGAGATTATACAGATGAATTGTGTGGGTGCTATGAAATTGATGAAAAATAATGACTGCTACTGTACAATCAATTCCTGCTACTGCTAATACTGCAGCTATTCTTCCATCCACTGCTGTAATGGAGCTATCTGTATAAATCTTTTCTTAAGACAGTCTTTTTACACTTAGAACAGCCTTGTGATGATTATGTATTTAAGTACAATCTAACAATTAGTAAAACTTACAGAAATATTATGTGTCAGCATCAATAATACGTTACAAACATTAAACCCACCATCAAATTCAATTGGAAATGCTTACTAATGCATAATGATATCAAATGAACTGGTTTTCTTTGTCCTGTCTTATATAATCTTCTCCCTCTTCCTATCCCGTCTGCTTTTCTCCTCCTGACAGCAGTTTGTTTTGTTTTCTGGCCTCCTGCCAGTGGCTTGTGAACATCACACCCAACCTTGCACACTGCATCATGATCACTTAATCCCATAATTATACGGTTACAGTACACTGTACTTACCGTCGGTGCCATCACATCTATGGTGTGTTTCCTGTGGTCATGTAGAAAATGTTGCATTGCAGCAATTTTGTTTTGTTAGTTTGTCAGGTGCAGCATTACAAATTAACCGGAGCTGGTGTGCAGCCCCCCTCCCCAAGACCTTCAGAACAGATAGAACAAATTAAACTATGTGATAAAATGAAACTCTTATCATCAATCTGTTGTTTTCAGTGCTCTCCAGGAGATATTTAGCAGTAACAGTATTGGAAATGACTTCTCTTGGTGCACCTTGCCTTGTCCATCAGGGCCACTTTCATGCCTCTCTGAGAGCTCATGTGAACTTGTTGCATTCAGCTGGGGGGGGGGGGCTACAGTATATGTAGGTGGAGAGAATGATAATGATAGTTAATGACAGGAGTAGAGAGAGAGGGTTTTTCCAGCCACTTTTCATATCACTTACTCAAAATGCAACATATATTGCAGCTGCAGTGTATTATGGTCTGTGTGTATGGACTACTGTGGGTGGAGAAATTGAATTGGTATCTCTGTGTGATTGTGACTGAAGCCTTTGCACCTTAATGTTGCTGTTATAAATGTTGAATTTTTGTTATTTGTTTTATTCATTTTATTTCTCCCCACTTCTATTTTTTAAAAGGAGGGGAGATGTGGGCATCCTTTCAAATGCCTCAGAAATTCTTAGCCACATTCCAGTATGTTGTCTACATTATTCAACCATCTAAGGACATAAAAAATACTTTCTACCAACAGAATGGCCAAGATGTGTCAATAGTTGTTTATTTACTGTTGTTTATTTAGAATTTTTCCCTCAAAAAAAAAAAAAAAAAAAAAAAAAAAAGGAGGGCTAGGCATCGCCTGATGGTCATACAACCTACCATATAGCTTTAAAGTCGTGTCCTGTTGTAAGGCCAAGGTACATTGTCACACTTCATAACAACAGCAAGCATGTACAGGCTTGACGTCTTGGTGCAGATATTTACTGTCACTGGAATTTAAATAGCTTTTTGCCTCAGCTCAGGCAACTATCAGCTATGCTCTATGCACCTTGGACATGGAATAATCCGCAGAAAGATCTTAAATTAGATACTTTTATAGCCATTGAAAATTTTAAGGTTATTGTAAAGTATGTGGTGAATGAGACTTGTATTTGTTTTTCTTGTGAGACCATTGAGTTTTATGTTTTATGCTGTTTTATGCTGTTTCAAGCTTTTAATATGTGGTGATTTGATATGTTTTTGTATGATTGCTACCTTGGCCAGGTCTCCCTCTTTTTATCTCACTGGAGCTTCCTGGTAAAAGATAAAGGACATAATAATTGTTACCCTATCCCAGGTTTGATGAGTGTACATCCATCATTACATTTTTTTCCTTTTCTTGTCTTGTTTCCCTCAGAGCCAAGAAGAAGACCAAGCCCTTGAACCTTAAGATCCACAGCAGTGTGGGCAGCTGTGAGAATCTGCCCACGCAGCGCTCACCCCTCCACACCGAACGATCTCTGCGATCCTTCTTCTTCCCCTCTTTCATCCCGTCCACACCTCCCGTCCACGCCGAAACGCCCTCTGCAAGTAAGAGAACTCTTCTTTTTTTAATCAGCTCACACTCAAGCATTTATGACATTAGATTTTTTAATGCCTTTAATATATGTCTTTCATATTGTAATCCTCTATGACATCTGATTGCTTAGTTTTCAGGCAGTGTTTCATTTCTGTTCTCTACCTGGTTCAGTTAAAAGAGAGGGTAGTGCACTTTGGGGTTGAAAACTGAACTTGGGTTGAAGGATTATCTGCATTTGTAAACCAAAATGAGTCTGTATTACTTCTCTGAAGATAAAGCAGTCCAAATCCTTTGGAATGCATCTTCTTACTCTTGTACTAAAACCAGCTTTGTAACAGTTGTCTAATGTAGTTTTTGACCTCAGTGTGTCAATCTGCCTTGAAATCTGGGCACTTAACCAAACTGACCTCTCCATAGTGGTAAAAAAAAAAAAAAAAAGACCACTCACATGCCCATAATCATTCTTAACACCACAATCCTTTTTGTTAAAAATACACTTAAGTAGAGCTCTGCTGGAAAATGCAACAAATGAACAATCAGGCCGGAGCCATAATGACCGGAGGTGGTGTGTTGCTGCACCTTGGCAGCCTTATTGGTTAAAGCATTACGTGCATACTGCAGAAGCCATTAGACTGAGGAGGAGAGGCAGAAAAAATAGAAAGTAATGGAGGTCATGTCAGGAAAGGAGTGATGTATGGCCGTCACTTAGTGTTGTGAATAGTTGTAGACCTTGACTAACAGGTATCTGGGACACAGCAGTGCATATTCATTTGAGGCATGCCGTGGAATAATCACACACCATATGCATGAAAGGACACAGAAATAAGGATGGAAAAAAAAGACCGATTTGGGAATTAAGGTATAAATTCATTGGCATACTCTCAACTTCTAATGCATGCATGTGCATTAAGAGTAGCAGTACAGTTACAGTTTACAGAGGGTTTATAAATTGCAATTAAGGGCTTTTTTCAGTGATTGAAAAATAATTTACTAATGCTTCATTTCTAAACCATTAATAAAAACACAGTTTGACAAAAGGGACCTGTGATCTTCTGGAAAAGTGCTGCAAAAATATATACCAAAAACATACCTTTTTAAGGACTTATAGTAACCAATGACATGACAGCTTCTTCTGTTGGCATAATACAAAGTGACAAACCAGCTGCAGACTTAATGGTTAATGTTTGATTGTTAAAAGTCCCATATTTTACACTTTAACACTGTTTTTATTTGAAGTGTTGATGTCCATAAAAAGATGTATTTGTGGTTTTAGAAACCAACCAAAAACCATCTCAGTGTAGTCTTACATCTCCTCTTTAGAGCTCTAGTAACAACAGGTCAGTGAGCCGATCAGGAGAGAGGCTCTGAGCTTTTCTTCTGATTGGCTGACTGTTTTCTCAGTGATAGAATAAAGAGCAGATTTCAGGTAAACACTCAGGGAAACCCCGAACTGCAAGGTTGGATGGTGGGTCTGGGTGGGCTGGGCGTGGGGCATGGCTGAGAGTGGTGACTGCTTTGTTGTGACATCACAAAGTTACATAAATCCTGACGGCTCGTTTTAAGTCACAGTTTCTGAATACAGGCTGTGTGTGTTTCTCTGTTGACTGAGCACTTTGATACTTCCACAGTATGAATGTACAACCTAGATCTGCTTTATAATCAAATAAGACATGGAAATCTCACTTTATACAATATAGGACCTTTAATACGTCATTAATATTTAGAGTTTAAGACTTAGCAGATTGTTGTAAAAATCGCCTTGACTTACATCTTTTTCTGTTGGCTTAATAAAAAGTGACAAACCAGACTTAATGGTTAATGGATTGTTATGGACTCGACCATTAATGAGTCACCACTTTAGAGCCATCTTTCATAATTTGGCAATTTAGGGTTTTTCTCTTGAAGTTCTTAACTGTATTTGATCCACTTGGTATCATCCCACAAGGTTAAACAGATTTGGAAAGAAGGTCCTTTATATTCTCTTAAGTGTGATGACATATTTGTGCTTGTCACTATAGTTTATGTTCCAGACTGGAACACATGGTTATATATATAAATATGAGATGTGCAGACATAAGGAATTGCTGGCTATCAGACTTCAGCATCAGTCTTGTCAGGGGAGTTGTTTTCTCTGCTTAATTTGGATTATAATCTTACTCTGAAAAGGGGGAATCCAGACCTGCTTTTTCAGATAAAGGTAGAAAGTCAAGTACCTAAATCTGAAAGTTAAACGAGTAGGGACATGATATTTGATCACAAAGCTGTAAATAATGATCACAAGCCTGCAGTCATTCACAATGAAGCCATCTCCCATGTCTCCACCTGTATGTGTGTGGGAGTGTATACTGACAACCCACTGAGCTGGAGCGTCTAAGTTAACAGCGTCTGCTCCAGGCTAGAGCACAGATAGTACTTCTTACGTAGACGGAGAGTTTTTTAGGAGGAAGTACATGCTGCTTTTTTTATCCTGCTGTACTAGAAAGCATTATTAGACACGGCGGGTATCGCAGCTTTGTTTGGAAACCTGCCTGTACACCCTAAAACCCAAGATAAGCTGTCCGCTGTGGACCGCTCTGAAGGTTGACGGAGTTGTACATCTTTATACGCTCCCTCAGAAATATCACCTCTAACATCTCACCTTAATATGACCTACTTCCCTCAGGTGTGCTATTTTAGTTATCACAAATACAGGTTAGACTGCTAAAAAACTTTGTTTGCGTTGGTGTCAATTACAATTGTAAATGCCTAGGGCGAGGTGCACAAAGTTTCTGTTTGTGTATCAGCTTGTTTGCATTTCTTTTTAGCCTTTAACCTGTTCCCGGAGTGTAACTGATCTGTCTGTGTATTTACAGTCATAGCATCAACGTTTAACTTTGTCATCTTTCAGTCACTTAAAGCTGTTTTTTGCTTTTTTTTGCAGATGTATTGCAACCCACTTTCTGCCCCTTAAGTTTTTCATTTGGTTTCGTGTTACTACTATGTTTGTGCCCAATATGTCAGAATTGTATTGTTTGGTGAAATAAGAAAGAAAATGCAGTGCTCTGTGGTCGATAGAAAGTGTGTTATGTGACAAAACTGTGCTTAAAGGTCCTGTATTTCACACTTTTGTTGTGTTTTATTTGAAGTTTTGATATCCTGACAAGATACAGCACCAGTATACAGTATATTGTTTATTTGTGGTTTTAAGCACCAAAAAACATCTTAGGCTTTTCTCTGATCTAGTAACAACAGGCCGGTGAGCCAGTCAGAAGGGAGGTTGTGAGCCTCTCTTCTGATTGGCTGTCTGATTTTCGAGTGATAGAATCAAAATATAGCAGATTTCAGGTAAAACACTCAGAGAAACCAAGTCTTGCAAGGTTGGATGGTGGGTCTGGGTGAGTCTGGGTGAGTCTGGGTGAGTCTCGGTGGGCTGGGCAGGGCTTGGGGCATGACTGAGAGCGGTGATTGCTTTGTTGTGACATCACAGTTATAGATGTCCTGACGGCTGGTTTTAAGGCTTTCTCTGAGGACTGAGCGCTTTGATAGTTTCGCAGTGTTTATATAGAACCTAGACCTGCTTTTTAGTCAAAAGACATGGAAATCTCACTTTATACAATATTGGACCTTTAATAATACAAAAATAGAGGAGTGAAACATCAGATCACTCAGGGCTTGATGTGCTTACTTGTACATAACTAAGTAAAGTGAAATGATTTCTTACGCCTCAGTTGCCCTGGGGGCAGCTCGTAGTTGTTATTTTAGGAACAGCATACCTGTGTGTTTGTGTGTGAACGCCTGCGTGAGCATGTGGACAGGCGCGTGTGTGTGTGTGTGTGTGTGTCTGTGTGTGTGTTTGCACTCCAGTCAGCCAGGTTAAATAGCCGTCTATGTCCAGGTCTATGTTTGGGATTACGGTATCACTGCCATCTGATACGTCAGGACCCTCCAGCCAACAGCATTAACACTCATCTCTCTATTCACCTGAATCAAAACAGGCGGAGGACCCACAGGACTGGCTGAGGTGACCAAACACTGTCTGCTCAGGATGAGTCAGTGCCCAGTCCAAGCTGAAATGTCAGCGCCCTCCTAAGAGTTTGTTTGGCTTTTCACCCAGAGATACTGTCTGTGATAGTGTGGTTATGATATGTTTAGATTTCATGAAAGATTCACAGCAGTGTATCTTTGCTCGGGCGGTCTTCGGCGCGTAGTTGGATTCTAGATAAAAAGACGCAGACGTTATCTGCAGATAACTGAAATTGTGTGCTGATGTTTGGTCTATTTAAAAGGATAAGGCTGGCAGTATTCTCTTCTATTCTATTTTCCATCTTGTAAACAACAAACCCCATGGAACCAACAATGTGTTAGTCCCTTTATTATAACTGTTTGACTTTCCTCCAGTTTCTACTGAAGTTTTAAAATTACACACACAATCACAATCAACACAAGAACTTCTCTTAAGCATCAAGTTAGTGGAGTTGGAAAACACTAACTAAAAACAAAAAAAACAAGATCAGTATTGGCAAATTTATTAGCAATCCAGTCCTTTTCATTAAAGGCCCTGCACATGGTAAACCCATACACACAGCGGTGGTGAAGCAAACTGGAAATCCTCCATCGCCTTTGCGATCTTTGACATCCTCCAAAGGATGCAGTCCCTGAATCGAAACACAGCTAGCCACTGACTCTCCTGTTGGCGTACATGTAGTTGTAGTGACATCCTGTGACCCTCCATAATCACCAGCACCTGTGAGGGTGTGAAGGCCCTTTATTTACTCTTTATCTCCTTGTTTAGTGCCCTGCATTTACTCTGATTATGAGCTCATAAAATGCAGTGGGCATCTAACCTGTGCCATGGAGAAGACTATTGCTTACAAAACTTAAATTACTTTAAAGTTCTGATGCACAAACACCAACAAAAGTCTGCAGACAGACAATAAATTTGTGTAATCATGCGAATGCATGGAGTTATGTGGGCAGGCTTTGCGCAGTGGAAACACGGTTCATTTTTTCGCACAGTGCCTGTGTTATGTTA